CATCCTGCCTAAGATCATAAACTTTGTGATATCAGCTCATGTTTTATCCTCTGTTTCCAGGCAGATTTCCCTCACGGTCACTTCACCAGCAACCGCTTGGGCTTGTTGCCCCTGTGGCCCATTTTTTCTTGTCTTTCCATTGTGGCTCCCTCTTCTGATTCCTACCTTATGCCTTTTTGGGGGTAGTCCCTCCAGGCCATGTGGGGAGCTGGTCCTTAGTGATATACCCAATAGGAGCAGCGAGGAGCCTCATTGTGTGCCTGGGGCACAAGACTTTAAATAATGGTATAACGGTGATGGGCCACCTTGCTGTCCAAGCCAGGAGTAATGAATAAGGAAGGGGAGGTAGAGAGGTTAGCATCCTGAGAGCTGCAGCTAACAGAATTAATCGCATTGTGAAGTTAAATGGTGTTACCTTTTCTTCTCCCGGTCTCTGAATCTATGCTTTGGCTCTTTCTTATTATTAAATCTTGACTTTCCCAAGAATATCCTGGGAAGCATGTCCCACGGAGCATTTCTAGCTTTTGGTCCACATTGTCCTTATTGTTGCAACAGCTTCTGGGCAGATCTCTGTTCCCAAAGCCCCAGGACAGCTGTGATAAGGCGCTAGAGGTGTGACTGTATGAGACATTTCTCCCCATGGTCCCGCTCCCTCACTGCGGATGCCCCTTCTGTGATCCAGCAGCTGAGATGGACATTCCTGCTTGACTGCTGCATAGAGAAGGATTTTAAAGCATCTGGGTCACCATTTCCACCCTACACTCGTTAGGCTCCGCCCCTATGTGTCTTGGCGCAAATCTCTTTTTTCTACTTGCAGCACTAGAAAAAGATAATTTTCTCCTGAAAGGCCATGTTGCGCGTAAAAAAAACTTCTCAGAAATATGAAGAAGTTACAAGAAAATTAAGTGACCTCTAACTTATTTTGGAAAATCAGTATCAAATGCTTTGGGGTAAAGCTTATGATGCGTTTCTTTTTTTTTTTTTTTAAATATCACCAAAATTTTACTGGAAATCAAGCACAGTTTTCATTCTCCCACTGGCCCCCAGTGTCTATACTTCCTAGGAGGAAATTTCCTTAAAATAACTTTGATGTCTTTGACTAATTTATTAGATAAATCCACTGTGTATAAAATGGCATCTTTATGAGGTAATTAATTAATCTCTAGATTCCACTGGGGCCCGGAACTTTGAGTTTTGTTATAAATTATAGCACCTGCTGCAATTCTGTCTCACACGCACATTATGGGAGCATTTTTTTTCTGAGCTGATAAAATGGGATTGAACTAATTGCCTCAAGTATCTTCTTAAGGCTTTAAACCAATTATTTCTTCATATATTGGCTATCAAATTATTTATATTATATCATGTAGGCAAACACGTTTTGAAAATAAAAGACCAAATTTTGCCACTGAAGTCTCATAAATGATGAGCTTGGAAAGAAAAATTTTAAATATCAGTTATTTGTAACCTACTGTCATTAAAATTTGTGAATAAAAAAAGAAAGCTACAAGGGAAAATATGGACAAATTATGACCTTTGTGTAAAATGACACATCAGTTATTAGATGATCACTGATCTAATTCTGGATTGGCAAAGTCAAATTAATTTTGCTGTTTCACTCCATAGATAAGGGAGGATTGATTAGCACATCATCAAAAATAATAGACTATGTTCATAGTGTGGGAAGAAAAAACAAACAAAAAGGAAAAAGAATAGCGAAAGTTCCAGAGCAAAAGAGAAAGAATAGAGAGAGCTTGCTTTATTTTGGCATCTATTTAGTTAGTGAGACATATGGAATAAAAAAATTAATCATGTTTAAGAAAAATAAGGTGATAATCTTCAATCTGGGAATGTGTTTGGGAGTATTTTCAATAACAGAGATACTATCTTCTACTTCGCAAGATCTATGACGTGCTTTTTTCTTCAGAATTATGGGTTTTGCTGTCTTCCGGGAGAGGGGAAGAAAGCCCGTTCACTGCCCCCAATATTTCTACAGCACTATCTAACTTATAGCAGTAGCACCTGTCTGTGATTGTTGCCTACTATTTCATTTTGTAGGATTTCTCCAAACTCTTTTGTGGGTATGACCACAGTCCATTATATTTTAGCCTTACCTTGAGAACAGAGAGTGTTGCCCATAGGAATTGGGTTAGAGGGGGATGAATATCCCCCAGAAATGACCTTGTCAACTCTTACCCCCTGCAGCTTTAAAACCATCTTCTCATGGTTGCCTGTGGAGTTCAGACCCCACTACCTAGTCAACCCCAAGGAGATGGATCATGTCTTCACAGGTATCTTCTGCCCCCCAATGAGAAACCTCTCACCATTACTGAAACATGCCTTTCTTTTGCCCCCAAGGAGTCGTTCTCAGTCAGAATTGCTTCTCCATTTGTCTGACTGGCAAACTTCTGCTCACGCTTCAACACCCAAGTAACGTCAACTCCCCAGTGACCCCTTCCCCAGCCACCCCAGGGAAATCTGACCGCTCCTCTGATCTGCCACCTTCATTTGCTCCCCTGTATCCTGTCACATATGAAGTGGTGCACCGTGTCCCCACAGCCTCCCTGCAAACCTGGGTCATTCTGTGGCGCACCGCAAAAGTATCTGGCACACAGGAGGTAGTCTCTAAGTGTCGTTCAAATTAGTGGTTGAAAAGAGACAAATTGCATACAGGTCTAAGTTTTATAATATTGGGAAAGATTTGAAAAATAATTAAAGCATTTCCAACTTATTTCCTTACATTAATGCTTTTGATATTTAAGGGAGCCCAGGTTTGAATTACAGCACTTGCAATTGAAAGTTAATTGTTTATATTATAACTCATATTGCATATTAAAATTTTAATGATTGCTAAGCAGCAAATTCAATTCCTTAAATGCATGCCGCCTCCCCACCTGGAGTGCTTCTTCTGAGTTTTTATGCAATCATTTCATAGAGGGTACATTTTGTTGAGTGGAAATTCTGCCAGATCCTTATTTCAACCTAGACTCAGGTTATATGTGGGTGTGTGACTGTGTGTGGATGTGTTAAGAGGTGTGAAGTTGATGAGCGGAAACAGTGGTGTAGATGAAATGTACATCCAAAGGGCAAGATGCTGGAAAACAGGGAAGCCTAGGAATGCATATTCCTTCCAGGTCGACAAGCTCACTCTGCACTCTCTTGGCAACTCCACCTCACGCACCCCACACGGAGAGGCGTTTCCTATCCATTACTCCTTTTTGTTTCGAGTGAGTTGACACGAATACAAAGATGTGCACCAATTAGAAGGACAGACTTGCTAAATATGGAGCAGTGATAATCTAATCTGTGTCTGTCTCTTTATCCAGTATTTTTAATGCGATGCTCTGAACAGTTCCCACAATTATTCTCCACTAAACGTGTTGTTGATGACTCCTCGTCATGACTAAACTGTCCTGGACAAACATCAACACCTGTGGGTTGTTTCTTTGACAGCAGATAGGCATTCCTGGTGTCTCTATTAATTAATCTGCTTTCTGTCCCAGGTGGCAAGATTCTGGGAGCCCTGAACCAGATTCATAGCACTGACCACTACCTCTTATGTCTACCCACGACTGTGCCCGTGTAATACCAGAATAGAACATAGAGAATGAAAATATTTAACACTCCCACTTCCTACAACTGCTCCATAACAGCTGTTGAGTTTTTTCTTTTGTAATTTCCGGATTCCTTGCTCCCATTTTTGCAAATTATCACATCTTTAACTCATTTGTGACAGTTTGTATGTAAACTGGGAAAATACTACTTCAAGTATTGGTGGGATTTGCTATGTAGGAATCACAGTGCTACCTTTAAACACTAACTATTCTATTACGAATCATCCAAAGGTCATTTTTAGAAAATAGAATGAAAAGCACTTTATCTCCTATGCTTTAAAACCTACTCATCAATTACTTCAAATGACTTACATGTTCAACTCATGTTCCAAAGGAAAGCATGGCTGCCTGCCTCTTCATTTACTCTGTCACTGCTCATTAAAATGTGCCATTTCCCTCTATTAGGAGGATTAAAAGGTGGAAACTCTCCAGGTGCCACTAGTTAGCAAACTGTTCCTGGGGAGCCAATAGCCTCATTTTTCTTTTCCTCTTTTCACTTAAAAAATACTTATCTGGTGAAAGAAAACACTTCTCGGTGCTGGTGAATATATTTCCCAGGACTTCATTAAACCAAGTAATAGGATCAGTGTTTAAATGATTAAGTAGGTATATAAGCTTTTACACAAAGAAAATGTAATTAAGATAGTGCTCACAGACATCAAGACACTAATAATTAACCCAAATGACTGCCGTAGGTCCATAAGAGGGTTATGCAAATGTGAGGCAGTGTTATTATTCCTTCACGAGCAATGATGTGATGTTTTGGTGAACTTTTAGGGTTATACGTATACAGAATGCCCTGCCTACTTGTATGTGATACATACGTTATACTTCCCGGAGGAGAACTATTTTTTCCCACTCATCTTTAACTGTTTATGAGCTCTCTGTACTGTTGCACAAGCTAGAAAACAAGCCAACGTTCCTAGAGCTTGCATTCCTGGTGACAGATTATTTCATCCCAGCAAAAAAGCCCCGCTTACATCTGTCACTCAGCGGGAGGCATGCAGAGGACCCGTCAGCAGCATCGCGAAGCACCTGGTCGCTGCGAACCCATTTGCATCTTGGCATCTGCCCGCAGAGTTCTAGGCTCTTCCCCGTTTATTGCATGCCTGAAAAACTACACACGGAGCAAAATGTTTGATAAAAAATATATTTAAAACAACCAAGAAAAAATAGTCTCAGCCTTCAGGATAACTTCCATCATTCTTTGAACCAAGTAGAGTTAAATTATACGTATCATGATTTCGAGTACCAACTTATAAAAGATGTGAGAAATCAGAAAACAAAGAAACCAGAGAACTCTTTTTTTTTTTTTTCAGAAAAATGTATTTGCAATTCAAATGTTCATATAAAAAGCATAAATTTTAAAAAGTTCATAGATGTGTGTTTTTAGAAGTGCTATGGTTTCACCATTCATTGCAATTACATTCCAAGATATGCAGGGTGGCTTCCACCATGCTGTCTTACACTTCTGTCACACAGAAGTCACTCTCATCACAACCTCCCCTGAGCTGTTATCTTCGGACAGATCTTCATGGGGCCTCATCCGGTTGAACAGATGGAGTAACACGTAGCCACACTGAAACCTGGGGGAGGTTAACTGCGTTGGGTGGACCAAATTCCTGTTCCGTAGGGCCGTCAGTGGCAACCATAAAGTCCTGCTTGTGGAAGACTCTCCCCGGCTACTTTCTTCAATGTCTGTAGCTTTATCATAATTTAATACATCCCAGTGTAAGTTAACAGCCCGCCAGCGCTTAAACACTCTGTAAACTGCAGCTCCTTCATGGACAATGAGACCTAAAAATGGAAGGGGGAAAAAAAAGGCTGGTCATCATCAAAAGTCAAGAATATTGTTTTATATACAAGTAAGGAATTAAACAGTCAATTCTCTGTTACTCATTGCCATAAAAAACATGGTATCTTGACTACTGAAATGTCACAGCTAATGGCAAGCTGCTATCCATATGATACGGGAATAATCACTATCCAAAGAATAAGAACACCCTAACATGCACAGAGTAAAGTTATCACAAGTATAGTTAACTTGCTCCATCTTGGCTCAGAACACACCTTGGGCACTTATGTTGCCTTAAGAGAACCATTAGGTTTATTGATTCATTCATCATATATTTGAGTACCTGCTAAGGACCAAGTAATGTGTTGGGGGCTTGGTTTCAACTGACAACTTAATTTGGGAAAGGCACAGAGCCACCGCCATCTTCCCAGTTCCTAAAACAATGTCTGACACAGAGAAGGTATGATAAAACTTTTTCTTCTTTTCACCCTCTTCTTCAACAAAAATGTATTAGGGAGTTGAGAGTTTTGTGTATATTATCTCATCCAGTGTTCACCATGGCCTTATGAAATGAGTATGAGCATGTGCCCCATTTTGCAAACAAGGAATGAGCTCAAGAACAGACAACTAGTAGCAGTGGAGCTGGGATTCAAACCCAGGCAAGCTGGCTCCAGAGACCTTACTCTTTACTGATATGCAGTAAATTGGATGGTTACACATTTCTGAGACACTCTCAGGAAAACAAACAAGGTAATACAAGAACCTCAGGAAGCATAAACTTGCAGTCTGTAAATTGGATATGGCGCCCTGATATATGGCTCCCACTCTACCATCCAGTCCACCACACGCTGCATTCTTCATACATTCGCATTTTAGTATGTGGTCCAAAAGCTTTTGAATTGGTGACCCCTCACAAAAAGAAATTCCCTGAGGGAAGTTCCCTCAGATTGAGAAATGAGAAAGAGCTCTTTCCCTTCAGAAGCATGAAATTCCATTGAAAGTTAGTAGAGAGATGAATGGAGTCTGTTTTTAGATGGAATATGGCATTTAAGTACAGCGCGTCTGTTGGCCCCAAGCACTGTTTAATGACAAATTGGAAAGTGAGCAGATCCTACCTTCCAGGATTTAGAACTTGAGTACATGACTTAGAGAAACTCTCAGAAATGTGAATAAGGAAGCATGTTCAAACTTGTTTATTACATAATTGCTTTCATTTGAGGGGGAGAAAATAGCAAACAATCTCAAAGTACGTGCAGAGAAGAATGGATAAATCATATTGTGTGGATCCAGCGGACCACAGCAACGCAACTGAAGGGAACAAAGTCAGTAATGTGGATAAATCTTAAAAGAGAGGAACTCTCAAAGCCATGTGAAAAAAAAACATGAAAATTTCAGAAAGAAATTATTAGGGAACAGAAATACTACCTATTTTTACAGATTCAGATATATAGGTAAAAAGTATAAAAACGTGTAAAAAATAATCATGAAATTCATGACAGTGGAAATGAAAGAAAAGAAATGAGATCCAGGACAGGCTTCAAATAGGCCTTTGACTGTATCTCTAAGGTCACTTTTTAAAAAAGTTTATTTACTTATTTTGAGAGAGCAGGGAGAAAGAGGGCTTGAGTGGGGGAGGGGCAGAGAGAGAGGGAGACAGAGAATCCCAAGCAAGCTCTGTTTTGTTAGCAAGCCCAGTGCAGGGCTCGAGCTCACAACCGTGAGATCATGACCTGAGCTGAAGTCGAGAGTCGGATGTTCAACCAACCGACACCAGGCGCACCTCTAAGATCACATTTTTTAAGCTAGGTGGTGAAGATGTTCAACATACTCTGTATACTTTCTTGTGCCTGAATAATTCATACTTTCACAAATTACAGAGAATCTATTAGGAAAATTTATCTAAGATGTATTGAGGCACAGACAACCGAAGTAGGGAGATTACCACATTGCATGTGAGGAGCAGAGTGGACACAGAAAGGGACAGTAATGCATTTGTCAAAGAAAAACAATGATAGAAATAGTAAAGCTAGAGGAATGGGTGATTGAAAGGATGATAGTAATCTTTCCAAAAGTACAAACAGTAAGAGTTGTGAACATGGTTTTGTTGAGGTGATTGTTTCATTTTCTTTTGTCGCCTAAAACAATGGCAGGTAGGTGATGGAGATACCCAATTTTTTAAATATCACAACTAGCTAATATCAGAATTTAAGTTTTACATCACTCCTTTACCAGGATATAAACTTCTGACACACGTGACTTAAGAGAATTCCAAGGATGATTTAAGAGGTTTCAAAAGGCCACTTAAAACATGCATGTTGTTTAATCAATAAAAATAAATAAACAATAATTGTGTAATACCACCAAAATAATGAGATGGAATGTAAGCTTCTGTTTTTAATATTTTTTAGTGTTTTATTATTTATTTTTGAAAGAGAGAGGCAGAGCATGAGTGGGGGAGGGAGAGAGAGAGAGGGAGACACAGGATCCAAAGTAGGCTCCAGGCTCTGAGCTGTCAGCACAGAGCCTGACATGGGGTTCGAACTCACAAACTGCAAGATCATGACCTGAAGCAAAGTTGGACGCTTAACTGACTGAGCTACCCAGGCGCTCCTAAACTTCTGTTAATCATAGCAACTGCAAATAATTGTTTTGATCAATTCCATTTTTCTAAGGAAAACTTGACATAACTGATCAGATATTCTGGGGAAACAGCCAGAATGAGAAGTAAAGACTACCAGATAGTAATTGATGATTCTATTATTAGCCTTCTGACATTTCTGTGGGCAATGATTTAACTTTGCTGGTTCTATTTTTCCTCATTAAAACACAATTGCAGTACCTAATCTATACATTCAGCAAGATAGTATGAAGACAAATTGAAATTCATCAATTATAATGCACTCAAATTTCCTCAAGATGGTGGCTCTATAAACACAAGACATTATTATTAATTAAAAAGTCAACAGTGAATTTATGTGATGAGAAACATTCATTCACACTAATCACAAAGCCATTGCAGCTTGCAACAGGTTCATTCTGGAGAAGTATAGCGATGCAGGATAGCTTCACCCCCAGGAAGCCACTCTTTTCACAGGATTGTGTTCTTTTTTTTTATTGATTTCCTTTGAAAAGCCAGAAATCAGATCATTTACTAGAGCTTAAAGTCACTTTCTGGGAATACAATCCTTGTAGCCCTTTTCTAAATACGTAAATCTACCCAATGTGCAGAAATAAATCCCACAGGTCTTTATAATGCATTCTGAATTTAGAGGGAGAGCTACTTGAAGTTTTCATGAAACCACAGTCCTCTTGAATTTCCAGCTCCATGTACTGCTTCTTAATTGCATTTCAAGTTATGAATGATGCTTAGATTTTGTTTTATTTCCCATGAGTGCGAGGAATTATTCCTTGCCCTTTACAAGCTTAAATTTTCCTGAAATAAGAGGAAGGCTATCCCACCCCTGAGGTCCTCTCTAATGTGCATCTTTCCCTTTCTTCCTTAAATCTTCTAGAGTTGTAGCAAATGCCTTTTGTACTCAAGGTAATGACAACATATGGTACTATGATCATCAAAATCCAAGAGTAAAGATTCATTCAACTCTAGTCCGTATGTTGAAAATCCAACAATTCATGCTGCCATGCTTTCTTACTGATGACCTTGTCTTCTCTTGTTTCACAACTGAGAAGTCCACTTCCCCCAGTGCCTTCACTCTCTGAGTAATGCCTTAAGTTAAGCCTTAAGATGAATTTGTCATCTTGACATTTAAGGTCATATAAGAACAGGCTTAGATTTATTTTTTTCATCTGAGTCACTAGACCTGAAAGGAAAAGCAATGATAATTTCTATAAAATGTAAATATTAAATATTTTAGGATACCTGCTACATTCTTAATAGCATGGATATCAACAAGGGGTGAGTCATGAGAATTTGGGGGTTTGAGAGTTCAGAAAGTTTTGTGTGTGTGTGTTGGTTGTTTTTTTGTTTGTTCGTTTTACATCACTTTCCTGCCAGTAACATTTAATTCAAGCATCAACAAAAATCAAGCATTTTTGTTAGGGAATAATATCTTATAAAAGAGAAAGTTTAAATGTTTCTAGTTTCACTGAAATAAAAGCAGAGTGTTGTTGTGTAGGTAAAATATATCCCAAATTTGTACATGGTGTGTTGGTTGAATTTTCTCTCTGGTAGTAGAAAATGAATTAATTGCCCAAATAAATGATGGGGAAAACCATCAAGGTGCCATGTTTACATGCTCGCATGCACAAGCATGTACACACACATGCACACACACCACATGTCCATGTTTATTGCAACACAAACGATGTGTTAAAATTAAGAGACTTGCAAGAATTATAACCAAATACAAACAAATTTTGATATTAACAATCAAACTACTGATCAAATCATTCCATTTTTTTGTGTTACCAATCTCTGCTCTTGTTCAAATAGGTTTGGCTGATTTTCAAAACTTAAATCTTCATCAAGGATCTATTTTGTGCCAAGCACTGTGGTAAGAGCTTTATGTGCATGATTTTCATTTAGTTTTGACAGCAGCTCTACAAATAGACACTATGATTGAACAATTCCATGGTTGAGGAAAATGAGACTTAGATTTAATAACTGTCCAAGATCATGAAGATATAAGAATAAGAGGAGAGATTGGAGATCAAATTTGTCTACATATAAACCTTGCGTACATTAGTCCTATCCATGCTAAATTTTCAATGTCAGCCAGTCTCTCCTAGTCATAGAATGAAGATCAACTAAAAGAACCCTTACTATGGACTGAATGTATCTCTCCAAAATTCATACCTTGAAACTCTAACCCCTAATGTGATGGTATGTGGAGGTGGAGCCTTTAGGAGGTAATTAGGGCTATTTTTAGTCATGAGGGTGAGGCTCTCATGATTGTATTGATGAGACACCTTATATAATCTGGAAGAGACACCAAGGAAAGGCCATGTGAGAACATATGAGAAAGACAACCATCTACAAAGCACA